AGCTTTTGTGTCAGCCCGAGAGGAACTGAGGATGTCCCAGCACGTTCTCCACCCGCACACCTCAAAGACCAGCTTTGAATAACTACCTCATTTACTGCATCTTTAAACTACTTTTAAGAAGTATTTGATTTCTTTATCAGCCTTATCTACATGGTTTTAATCTAGTGCATTATTGCCTCTTGAGAACTTAATAAGGGAAATAATTTCTTAATATTAGTGGTGTTGGTCTTCAATAAAGATAATATAAAGAAAAGTTGGATGGGAATTTAATGTTGAATTAGTTTTGTTAAGTGCTGTAGTCTTTTCAGTCTTTTACTTTGGTTTATTTTTTTTTCCTTTTAAATTTTAATCATCTTTAAGAATAGCAAAGTCAAAAAATCAATTAAGTTTTGTCAAAGCGATCCTCAAATAGAATGGATAAGAGGAAGACAGGAAGGGGGTGTCAGAGAAACCACTGCAAGGGACAGCAGAAGCCAGTGAATTCTAACGCCCTGGGGTGCTCTCGTCCCTGTGGGTGAAGGCTGCAACTGGCAGATCATTACCTTTTCCTGCTCAGCTACTGAGGAAACAGGAGGCTGTACCTAGATTCTCAAGCTGGAACTAATTGATTTTCAACTAATTTAAGCCTTTAGTTATAAAAAAAAAAAAAAAAAAGTAGGACCAAAGGCAACTCCCAGGAAGGGTGGGAGCAGTAAAGACAGCATGCCAAGAAAGCCTGGGGCTCCAGAAACTGCAGAACTAAAAGGGGGAGAATTAAAAGTGTTGGGGTTGGGGGAAAGGGTGAGGAAAGAGGGTAATTATAGACAGTGAGAGAGTAGGAGCCAGAGGTGGGCTTGGGACCTGTCCAGCTCCTCCCAGCTGTGCGTCTGTTCCTTCCTAATTCCAAAGTTCCTTGTCATTAGACTTTTGAAACTGACTTTTTTGTAAATGACCATTAAGATATATTTTTTTCTTATACTATATTCATAGTAATCTCCTTCTGGGAGCTGCCCCGGTTATTTGGCTTTAAGAACCTCGATCTAGTTGTCTTGATTATAAAGGAGAATGATTATTGATGAAGAAAGAAAAGGATTTTGTCCTTAGCAATAATTTAATTTTTCCTTCAAACAGAGGGGGAAAAAAACCTTAAAGACAACTCCCAGTTTTGCCCAGTATCGGTATTTGTTATTTTAGACATAATCCATGGATATGTGCCATGGTGGTTTAAGTCACCTTTTATCTCAACCCATCACTTATATTAAACAATATTTTGTGTGTGTTTATGGATATGTTATATTATAGCTGTTAATGATTCTGTTGGATAGACTCCATACCATAGGCAGCATCTTTACAAAGATTGGTACATAAGTTCCTCTCCACCAAGTATTTGACCAGCCAACAGCAACAGTAAATACCAAAAGCTTTCAAAGCTGCCAATTGATGACATAAACATTATATTTTTTCTAACATGGGGGTTTATTTATTTTAAGAAGGGAGCCTTAATTTAGTTCCCTGTATTGTTCTTTTTATATATAACATGTTATAAATCATGAAAATGCTAAATACTGCATCTATATACTTTATACCAGTACACTAATGTATATGCTTAAAACATGTATAAAAAGGATTTTAAATCAACACAATGAACCAAAAACTACTAATAAAAACAAATGTTAGTTTTTACTTTCAGAAAAATTTATGTAGGTAATGAATAACACAAGTTTCACATTTTTATGATTTTCTCTAAAATATTTAGTCTTGTATCATTTAGTACCATTAAATAATTAGATAAAACATTGCTATCTAATTTTTAAAAATAATTTTCCAACTATCCAATAGGCATATTTCCCAAGACAGGGATTGTACTAAAATATTAAAGGTGTGTAATCTAACTGCTCGTTTGTATAAGTACTTCATTCACAAACCAAGTAAACATTTAGAAAAAAAGAGATATAAAAAGTAAAAAAAAATTACCAGAAGAATATTTGCGTTCCCCATAAAATTAAGTGCTATCAATTCAACAAAAATATGGCTGATATTCAACAATTTGTGGGTGGGGATTTAACCTGGAAAAATTTCTTACGGTAGCAGGAACTAAATTTGGTCTAACTGTTTAGATTTGCTTCTTTAAGTGAAAAGGGGGCTAAAAATCACTTAAATGTGAAATAACAAGCTTGATTTACAATTAGATGCTTGTATACCCTAAGTCCCGTTGCTTATATCTCATTTTTATCTTCTATAAATAATGATACTTTTTCAATTTATCAAAACAATACCAATTCACAAGAAAGTTTTAATATTTTGTTGGATATGATTCTGGATTACGTTAGTTATGAGAAATGTTACAGATGCCATCCACGTACTTATACACGCAGGTGGCTTCCTCAGAACACGCCCCTACTACACTAACTGAACTCATTCGGACTTAGTCTCCACGACATAGAAATCTTTTCAGATACTAAATAAATAAATATCTCCTGAGCTTCATGAGAGTGTGAAACACAGTGAAGATAATACATGCTAGTGAATCACATGAAAAACATTGAATTTTTTTGTTCAGTTTATAATGATATTCTACTCTGCTTTTCAAGTCTTACACATGGAAGAAATACGGAAGTGAGCTTTACACTAGGCAGTGATTGGCCATAAAGTGTGGTTACATTAGTAAGCATATTTTACACTTGATCTTAGCCAAAAGGCCTAGAAGCAACAGTAGGCATGTTTTAAGAGTAATAAAATTGTAGCTCAATTTTACTTCAAGACAATGGCAAAAATTCACCCAGGATAAGAATCCATTTTATGGTAATCTCTTATGAGATTTGGGGATTATTAATTAAGAAAAAACATATGGTTTGTTATTTAGGAAAACAGCACTCATCACTTGTTTAGGCATGATCAAAATAAGGCTTATGAAGTTTAAATCTATTATTTCCTAGAATAAATAAACAATTATATGTTCTGATGTAAGTAACAGGCTTGTAAACAGTTGTGCCATCATCTTATGACCAACACAAGAAAAATACCATTAACCTAAAAGCAAAAATATTACTTAATAGTAAAATAGGGTTCTAGAAATTATTGAATAAACTGTTTTCTATTTGCTTTGTTTTCTTATTTTATCTATATTTACAAAACATCATGGCATACAACTTCAAAAGTCTAATTATTTTATAAAATAACAGCATATATCTATTGAAAATGATCAAAAGATTCAGTTTAATGAAACATATTAAGACAGATTCGTGACTGAGCTGTTTTTGCTTAATCACAAATTTAAATGCCCTAAACAAACAACTGAATTTGGTCTAATAGTTTAGATTTGCTTCTCTAAAGTGACCAAATCAATAAATAATTTAAAGGTAAAAATGATGGGGTTTGATGTATAGTTAGATGTTTACATGGTCTAAAATCTATGTGAGGTGTCTGCAGCTAAACGCGGTGATTTCAGTGACCTACATTTAGCCATGCTGAGCAAAAGCTGTTCTATTGATATTAATGTGACCCCTTGAACTAAAAAAAGCTGAAAAGCAACATGTTCTACAAGGAATATTTTCAGGCCCCTTCAAACCAATTTCGAACTAAGTCCTATTTGAAAGCTCTTACTCAAGCCCACTAATCATATGTACAAAAGAAAATGCCATGAGAAAGACCTGTGGAGCACCTGGCATGCAATGGGGGATGGCTTTCTAAAGCTCAGCACTAAAAGCTTTGTCCCTGGTAACACAAAACACATGATTTAGTAAGCCCCTTATCCTTCATGCCAGGATTGCTAAGAGTGAATGACCACAGTACAGTAAGAAACATACATTACAAACAAGGCCACATGTCCCCAAGATTCACTGCCATCTGACTTTTCAAAAAGTATTTCCTTTGAGATAGTATACAAGGATATTTTTTAGTAGGTGTAGAGCAAAATATTTTGAAGTCACCCCAGATCACATTTTAATGTAAAATTTTAAAAGGTATTACTTTATAGGGACCTAGACTCTTTAAAATTTATTAAATTTGTTGGTTAAATATTAAGTCTTATTATGTTTAATGTTACTTTCCTTTAAACAGTCAATTCGTCTTTAGTTTGTACTAAAGTATTTTAAGTTAAAACGGCCCTTGTAAAACCATTTTAAGTAGGTAAACTATTTAATATTCCTGTAGAGGGAATGCTAGGCAGGGATCTGCCATTTGAGATTGTCAGTATTTAAAAATTACTGCAAAGCAGCAGCACTAAATAAAAGACAGTTTTAAAACCTATTCCTCAATATTCTGGTTGATATTTATAGAAAATTATCAATTAAATATATTTATCTCAAAGGGGAATCTGGGATAGATAAATATCATCAAAGCAAGTTCTATATTTATCTTGCCTGTGTCAAAAATCAATTAGGTATGACTACGTTTTAATCATCACACTTAAGGGGTGTTTCAATTAGATTAAAATTTCTTTTCTAAGCTATTTTTTCATTGAACTCCCTCGATTGTTAATATTTTGCAGTTTCATTTGATCTTGGTTAATTTCATTTAAAGATTTGTACAATCATATCTTTCCCTAGATGAAATTTTTAAGAAGCATATGAATATGCTACTTAAATATTCACACGTTCTTTAACTTACTAACAAAAATGGTTTGGAAAGTTACTTTTATTTTCCCATACATAAATATTGGTCTCTTCCTTTCTTCATTTCTTTCTTTTTCTTTTATGCCCAAAGCATTGCTTTTCTTATAAATTTCCCTTTTTATAAATTGCCTTTTATGCACATCTTTAAATTAAATTTAACAGGCTCTCAAAGTACCAAATTCTACGCATATTGTGACCATTTAATTTTAGCTATCCACATTAAATATATGTGACTCTGTAACCTAAAGCACAACCTTACATCACTGTAAAAAAAATGAAACAGAAGTTATTGAGGAGAGTTTTATAAAATAAATGTATAAACACGGCCACCTACCAAGAAGCTACTTTACCATTAGAAAAAATTCCTCTTTATAGTAATAGGAATGAACAGATAAACGAACGACATACCTAAGTTGACAAAGCTCATGACCATGTCAGCATCATTCAGAAAGTTGGTATCGTGTAGGCTGGCAAGAGGAGGGCTCTGGGTAGTCAGCGGGATCCTTGGAGACAACTGCATACGATGAGCATACCCATTGGGAGAAGCTGGGTATCCCTTCCTGGCCTCCTTGGCCTCTCCTGCCAGGGATACCCTCACCAAGTATTCCGACTCCTCAGGATTTTCTTCACTGGCCATGGCATTGTACAGATCCAGCATAAAGAGGGGTGCAGAAGATGCTTGCTTTCCAGGTGAAAACGGCCTGGGTCTGTGGGGCAAACCCAAAATAGAGAGAATTTCCCTCTGTATTTCCCGTCTCTCATGGTTCCGCAGTCTTCTATAAATGAAACTGGAGTGAACATGATTGTCTCCCAGACCTCCTTTTGCATAACCCACTTGAACCCAGCCGCACCAGAGGAAGCCCACAAGACCCCTAAGTAAAAATACGGTCCAATGCATTTTTGTACAAAAGCAAAAGTCGGTATTTTTAATCCTTCTTGTCCACTTAAAAGTAGTAAGAATCCCGGTTCCTTGGAGGCACGCTTTGTCAGTAGCTGTGAAGTTGTAAAAACAAATTTACCTATTCTTCATGACAGTGGTGTTTCTGAACACAACATACTCAGTCCATTTTCTTCTCCTGTTTTAGATATTTGCAGATACGTCAAGAGTAGTGATTGCTAAGAAAGCTGAAATTCAGATTTCTAATTATCCACAGTTGTTAAGGGCTTTTGCAGTATTGATGTAGCAAGAGCTGGCTAAAATTATTCGATCAAATAACCTATGCATTCCTATGTGAATGTATGATAATCAGGCTTTGGTATTTGAACTGACGAAAGCTGGTCTTCGGACAAACTGTAGCTCCCAAGTTCTCTTCACTGGCTCTGCCTTCTTCTCAGTGCTTGAACTCTTTCCAAGACAAATCCTGAGGTCAGAATCACAGATCTACGCTGGTCTGCACCTTGCTGTTGGAATTCTATTTGTCCGGCAGCCTAGTGATAACTTCAACATCTCTTGTATGGTCTTAGTGTAAAACAAGACCCAAGGTTATAACTGCTCAAGTAAATGTATTTCCCTGAGTTTACTTGAAATCCTTCCTGTAAATCCATTCAATCTTTTCCTCCTCCTTACAGTTAATTCCACCTCCAGCAGGCACAAATATACCAGCCCTCTTCAAGAGAGATCTAAGGAGAAATGTAAGCACAACCCTGCTGGGAAAGAAGAGGCTTCTCATTGTAATTTGAAACTGGTAAAGCAAAAAGAAGTTAACCCTTTTGCTACCAGAAAAGCCTCCATTTTCGCAATTTTAGAACTACGCATACAACATACAACAGTGATGTGTGGGGTGGACAAGTTCCAGGGAGGATAAAAGCCAGTTTTCAACTAACAGACTGAAAACTTTGCCACCCTTCCACCCAGGGTGTTTTAGGTCTTTTTAGAGGAATGCATTTATTGCACTTCTATATTAAGACTCAGGTTGTAGCAAGCTAGCTTAGTATGTCTCAGTTCCATACTTAAGATTATTTCAGCTTTTGAATGTCATTAAAATTTACTTCTTTAAAAACTGAAAGGACAAATTTACAATTGGAATAAATTTATTGATTCTTAATGACGACCAGCTATTTTAAAGCAAAAAAAAGTTGACAACGAATCATTAGCAAATATATTCTTCTCCAAAAAAAGAGTAGTTATAAAAATTCTGAAATGGGATTGGATAGCTTTTATTTAATTGTCTATAGAAAAGATTTAAGCAGAAATAAATATATATTGAAATAGAAATGTCTAATATACAGTATCTTCATTCTTAACTTTTACTTCATTACAGCCCAAATGTAAACACAGTTACAATGAGATATTTATCGCAAACTGTACTCAGTACTTTGATTTAAGCTGTGCAAATAAACACCAGTTGTACTAAAGATCAAATACCCTGCGTGACAACACACAGATTAGAAATAGAACCCCTGAACTTTGATGGGTAGAACAGAGAAAGTGTGCACCTTTCTAGAATGCCATACCTAATCTGAGGAAATGAGCAAAGTATGTGTTTATCCTTAATAGTTAATGCCTTTAAAATTTGGAAGTCCGCAATGTTTCTCTGCCTGCTATAATTTTCTTCTCAGGCACACATTTAACCTTAGCGTTTACAGTGCTTTCATTGTCTGGGACAGCATTCCGATAGCAAGGTAAATTTATCGAGCGAATTCTAGAACTGTGGTGAGACTTTAATTTTTTTTTTCTTGGCCTAGAGGTGTCTAGTTTCTTGTTTAATTCCTTTTAACATATTTCCTCTGCATGAATAAAACAACCCTATTTCTCGTGGTCTTCAGTTCATTGGTGAATGCAAGACACTGAAAGGGCTCCAGAATCTGATGACATACGTCATTTCTCTTGTACAGATTCCCTAGGAAAACTTGACAGTGCAGCTGGACGTTTACCTCACTGAGAACTCTGCGTCATTACAGGACGCCACAGCCTAGTCAGAGCAGCAGCCCCGATGCTGACACACAGGCATGGTTGTCAAGAGACACCACAAGGCAGGGAAGCCATGCAGACTTGCAGGGACCATATCCCATTATAATAAGCAACGGCTTGAACTGCTAAAACTCCTGAGATTTATTTGCTTTAGCATCCAAAGCAAACAGCAAGTTTTGGTCGTCAGTACAGATTCAGATCAATCGCTCCTCTGCGTTTATAAAACACATTACAGATCAAGTAGGCTATAGTTTCCTTCTGTGTTTTAGAAGACATTTTCAAAGCTGTGAATTTGCTTTATATCTCAAGAGCACAAGAGAGTTACAGAGTAAAATCAGCTGCACTAAAGGAAAAACAATTCTTATTACAAAAGTATTGATTTTTTCCCCTAAGATACACTTGAAAAATAAAAATAAGACTGAATGTTACAAGTCTCAAAAACTTTTCCAAAACCATAATTTATAATGCCAGTCAGTAGCTTAATTGCTTACCCAGGCTTATATAGCTTCCATTGTATTGGCATTAAATTGCTAGCACACTTGATCAGATTTGAGTATCTACTCTACCCCTATCTCCCTTCCAATACAGACTAGACATAGCCCACATTTTTCAGAACATCAATAAGAGGAGAAAATAAGAAAAAATATTCTAAGACTAAACAGGAAGTGCTAGCTACTCCATGAAAAGTTAGAACCATTTCAATTGACAGGAAATGTGTTTTACCACATCTCAGTTCCCGCATGGGTTTATACCTGAGTGTTTGAGAGCAACTTGAAAGATAAAGTAGATTTTTGTGTGTGTAGACTAGGAAGGATCCTCATGTCTGAGTACCTATGAGACAAGGGACTGGACACACAGAAAAGAGCAGTGAGATTAGGAGAAAGACCTGGCTCATCCAAAGAATTATTCTTTTTTTTTTTTAATTTTTTTTTATTGCGAAAAGAAGAAAAAAAACATAAACAAAAAAACAAGTTTCCACCTCCTCCCAGCCTCCCATTTCCCTTCCCCTCCTCCCACCCTTCTCCCCCTCCTCCCACCCTTCTCCCCCTCCCCCCACTCCTCTCCCCCCCCCCTCCCTCTCCAGTCCACAGAGCAGTCCGGGTTCCCTGCCCTGTGGTAAGTCCTAGGTCCTCCCCCCTCCGTCCATATCTAGGAAGGTGAACATCCAAACTGGCTAGGCTCCCACAAAGCCAGCACATTAAGTAGGATCAAAACCCCGTGCCATTGTCCTTGGTGTCTCATCAGCCCTCATTGTTCGCCATGTTCAGAGAGTCCGGTTTTATCCCATGCTTTTTCGGTCACAGTCCAGCTGGCCTTGGTGAGCTCCCCGTAGATCAGCTCCACTGTCTCAGTGGGTGGATGCACGCCTCGTGGTCCCGAATTCTTTGCTCATGTTCTCCCTCCTTCTGCTCCTCCTTGGGACCTTGGGAGCTCAGTCCAGTGCTCCTGTGTGGGTCTCTGTCTCTATCTCTATCCATCACCAGATGAAGATTCTATGATGATATGCAAGATATTCGTCAGTATTGCTCTAGGATAGGGTCATTTCAGGTTCCCAATCCTCAACTGCCCAAGGAACTATCTGGGAACCTCATCTTGGGTACTAGGGAGCCCCTCTAGGGTCAAGTCTCTTGCCCACCCTAAACTGGCTCCCTTAACTAATGACTTCTCGAATTTTGCATGCAAATGGATGGAAATAGAAAACACTATCCTGAGTGAGGTGTCCCAGACCCAAAAAGATGAATATGGGATGTACTCACTCATAATTGGTTTCTAGCCATAAATAAGGACCACGGAGTCTACAAGAGGTGAACCTAAAGAAGCTAAGTAAGAAGGTGAACCCAAGGAAAAACATATAGTTGTCCTCTTGGCTAAGGGAAGTAGACCAAATTTCCGGGTAGAAAATGGGATCTTGGGGATGGGGTGGGATGGGGGTAAAGGGAGATGGGGAGAGAAAAGGTAGAAGGGAAGGAGGGGGGACCTGGGAAACAGGAGAATTGGGATAAAGGAAAGGTGGATAGGGGAGCACGGAACCAAAGAATTATTCTTAATGATCACCAAGAGGCATGCCCACGAAAACTCCCTCCCTCCCTTGTCACTTTGGCACAGCCCAGCAGCCTCTCCACAGGTCACTCTCCTTTGCAAGTTTCCTTTCCCCTTGAAATCTGATGCTTCTGTCTCTGGGTCTGTGAAGCAATTTTACCCAATTTACCAACGTCAGCTTTCCCAGTTTCTCCAAAGTAACTTGTTGGACAGATAGCAGAAGCATTTGCAGATCTTTTTTGATCTAGAGCTTTCTTATCACTCTTGAGCTTGGGTTGTTGCCATTTTGATGTAGAAGCAAAGTATCTGGAAGGAGTCAAGTCAGTAGGGATCTATAAGACCATTTAAGTGGCTGGTGGAACTGGCAGCAAACAGAATTCTGGGAAGGGCATCTACAAGAGTCCATTGTGTCCAGAGGAGGGCAGAGCAATGCTGTAAAACTACTCTCAGACAGACTTTGACTTTTTTGTTCGGGATTGGTTTGGTTTAGTTTTTGGGTTTTTTTTTTTTTTTCACGGTAGCTTGAAAAGGATTATAATCATGGGCAGTCTACACTTTATCTGATCATCAACTATTAAATGAAAACTAGGAAATAGATAATAAAGATAATAGAGCTTTGGGGATGTTGTTTTTGTTGAATAGCCAGGATTATATAACAAGATTTTTCAAGATATTGTCTAGTATATGTTTCTAAAATTGTTTTATATGAGTTCAAGAGAGTAGGTAATAATTAGAATAGTTATCTCTTAAGAAAACGAAGCAACAAGGAGCCATTAAAAAGTAGATGTTCTTAGTGAAGCATCTGTCTCATGATTCCATAACTACTAGATCCCAGTTCTGTCCGTGTCAGACAACTACCGTGACTTAAAAGAGAAAAGAAATGTGTAATGAGTTACATTCACATTCATAAATCCTCTGCTATATTATTACAGGGAAATCCTATTGAATTAAAGCTACCCTTGGCAAATGTGATTAGTTTCTATTCCTGTCAGCAAATACCTCATTCTTTTGAATGGCAATGGCTTGTTTTCTTTGTGCAGTGGTTATCTTTGGTTGTCAACTTGACAGGATCTGGGCTCAGCTAAGAGACACGCTTCTCAGTGAGTCTGCAAGGTGTCCACCGGATCATTAATGGAAGGGGAAAGCCTTGCCCTGCAGTGAGCAACCTTCAGTGGGCTCTCTAGATATAAAGTCCTGTTTCTTATGCTTGACTTCTTTCCTTTTTGGTACGTGCATCTACTCTGCAGCAGGAGTAGCAGTTGCTGCTGCTACTGCTGCCATCCTTTCTGACAATCAGAACCCAGATTCTTCGGTCTTTCAATGTGACCCGAAGACCAGCAGTTCCCCGGGAATCCTCAAGCCTTCTATGCCATACAGAAACTGCTAAGGAATCCATATCATGGACTGAGGAGGTACTGGGTTGTCCATCTCATCAAAGCACAGGCAGTTACTGCTGGATAACCCACTCTATCACATAATTCCACATAATTAATACCCATTCTATCAGTTTTGTTCCTCTAGAGAACTCTAATTAATATAATATGCTTGGGCTTTTGCCCTGGTGTTG